ACAACACCTGTATTATATCACGTTAGTTCAAATAGAGCACGCATGTCAACAGTCTCAGGTCAACTGTCGCGACTGTTGACCCACCTGGACCAAGATGTTGCGAGCTGCTTCAACCGTCGCAACCATCTCGGGGGTTACGAACTGCAACGAGGTAATCACAGGGATCGCAAAAGTCACTGCCACTGTAGTGATACCTCTATTACCGTTAATAAGGGAACGTACCTCTCAGAGTACATGGCTAGCTTGGACTTAACTATGATCAATGTCAATCAGGCCTCTCGATATCAGGGTTAAACACCCTTATGGCCCTTTCTATAAGGGTGGGTTTAGGTGTTCACCCTTGTTTTTAAAAGATGTTTTATGAGGCACCCTTAGCCGAAAAAGTGTTCATTTTGTTAACACTGATATTTAAGACATGCCTGGTGTACTCGCCCTAATGACAAAGACTAGTGTCGAGTACCACCTTGATGCGATTTGACGGGGGGGGGGGGGGGGGGGGTACTGACGAGATTTGGGCCGCGATTAGCGGCGTTTTGCCTGAGTCAGCAGATGTGCGCGTCGCCTAGTCGGCTCGCGTCGCCACTGCCACTGTCCCGTCAACTGTACCTGGCTCACCTGCAATTTTCCCAACTGGCAATGCCGCGCAGCGCCACACAGGTGTGCTTCGTGCAGGAGGAGTGTCTTGCTTGGAAGCATCTTCTTCCCTCCCCAGCAGACCCCCACCCACCGACCAGTCTCACGCACCCAACCCCAGTCCTCGTTTCATTTCTCCATCCTTCCTCCTCGCTTTCTCGTCTAGGGTTTGCAAACCACACCACCACGCTCTCATACAGCTAGAGTAGGCCCAGCTCCTGCATCCACCCTCTGGGCCTCGCCGTGGCTGCTGACGAAACCACTGATGGTGACGACGAGGCACGTCGTCAAGTCCAAAAATCACCCCCGCGAACGGGCCTCAGCTTTCTACGAACCCCCGCTAAGAACCTTCAAGATCCGGAGCCCATCGTTGCTTCTACCGAGGATGATACCCGCGTGGATGAATCGGGACGTGACCTGCGCTCACCTGAAGTTTGCACAACAACGACTGAACCTTCCCCTCCAGAAGCGACGGCACCTGTAACGGAGATAGGCGTTGCGGCTGGCGACTCTGCGAACAAGAAGCGGAAAAACTCAAGCGGTGGCAGTGCTAAGCAGAGGTGGCGACAACCGAAGCTCTCTTTGAAGCGGGCGGCACGTCCAACCCCACGAGTGGAGGACGAGGGGAGTGATGACGAGGAGGATGAAGACGGCCTGCCGACTGTCGAAGAGATGGCCCGTTACCCCGAAGTCGCTTTCGCTAAAGCGCATAAGCGATTTAAGACGTCATGGGAGTCTTTGTTTCCGTGGCTTATTTTAACTCGTGATGATGTCGGCTTCCCTATTTTGAGATGCAGCACGTGCTTGGAGCATGGAGTGGAAGGCGCGAAAACGGCTTATGGCAAGGGAGGCAATGGAGGGCGTGACATGCAGAAGGGGAGCATCTGAACGCACCAGCGCTCCTCCGCACACCAGGACGCACACGCCGAGATGAAGTCGAAGGAGAGCCGGAAGCTTCGTCAAACGTTGCTCAGCGAGTTCGAGGGGCTGGATCGTGGCACGCTTCACATCATCACCGCTCTCAAGACTACCGTGTGTCAAACATTATATATATGTTATTGCTGTGTAGGCTATAGTGGGTTAGCCTTTAGGGGGTACACAACTCTAGGGCTTCATACTTGTACTCCAATGTTTCATAGTTCAATCACTTCTTGTTTCTGACATGGTATTAAGAGCGCAGGTTAGACCTAGGAACGCTTACCTAATGGCCCACCTTTTCCGCTAGAAGCGCCCTCGAGCGCCTTAATCAAGTAGCGCCCTCGAGCGCCTCTCTCCTAGTGCGCCCTCGTGCGCCTCTCCTTCTCCTGCTGCCCGTGCGCAGCTCGCTAGTGCCGCGCGCGGCCTTTTTTTTTAGCGCGCGTAGCCCGCTAGCAGCCCGCGCGCGGCCTTTTTCTGCGCGTGCGCTGACCCCTAGCCGCCCGCGCGACCAGCACCGCCCACGAGCAGCCCGCTAGCCGCCCGTCGACCGGCCGTCCTGGCCGCCCAGAGCGTCGCAGCCCCGCCCGTAGGCCGCCGCGTCGCCCCCCCCCTAGGCCGCCGTTCGAGCGCGAGTCAGGCCCACGCACAGCCACGGCCCGCCCGCTACAGCCGCCCACGCGCACGCCCACCGTCGCGCGGTGCCGCGTAGATCCGCCCGAGCCGAGCCGCGCCGCCAGAACCGAGCCGCGCCGCCCGAACCGAGCCGCGCCGCCCTGGCCGAGCCGCGCCGCCCTACTGTGCCCCACCTGCAGCAACTCCTGTTCCTGTTCCTGCCAATACTACTGCTTCAGCTGCTACTGTTACTGCTACTGCTACTACTGCTACTGTTTCCACTGCTGCTACTGCCACTATGGCCAGTCCTTCTGTTCTTACTTTTGACGCTGAGGGCCGCCCGATTAAGTTTGAGGTTTGGTTAGATGACCTGCACCTGTTCCTCCAGATCACTGCCAAGGACGATGTCTCCCTGTATGACCACACGTCAGGCGCCGCTCCCGCACCTGCCGCTACTGCTGACAGTACTGCTCGCTCCCAGTGGCAGATCCGTGATGCTCACGCTCGCCTAGCCGTTCGCAGCCACCTGCCGTTAGATGAGCGCGAGCACTTTGGTCAGCATAAGACCGCTAAGGAGCTGTACGATGCGGTAGTTGCGCGCTACTCCTCCCCTGCCACTGCTGCGATAGGCCGTCTCTCACTGCCCTACCTCTTCCCCGATCTGTCCGCTTTTGCCACTGTAGCTGACCTCATCACCCACCTCCGTACCAGTGACCTCCGCTACCGTGCCGCGCTCCCCCCCGATTTCCTTGCCAAGAACCCCCCCCCCCCGATGTACCTCACACTGTACCACCTAGTCACCCGCCTCCCTGACTCCCTTCGCACTCTCAGGGACCAGTTTCTCGCCCTCTCCCCCACTGACCTCACTGTCGACCTCCTCGAGAAGGAACTCCTAGCAGCTGAGAAGAGCATTGTAGCTGTAGGTGCCTCTCGTGGCGACCCCCGCTCTCCCTTCTTTGAGGGGTGCTCCCCCTCCCCCCTTCTCCCCTCCATTGCATCTGCTGCTGCTGTCAACTACCTCGGTGCTGAGGGGGTCGGGGCTGCGTCTGCTCCTAGTGGGAGGTGCAAGGGCGGCAGGGGCAAGGGGGGCAGGGGTGGCGGAGGTGGAGGCGGGGGCGGCGGCGGTGGCGGGGGTGGGGGGGGCGGGGGTGGTGGCGGAGGTGGGAGTGGCGCGGGTGGTGGGGGGGGTTAGTGGCGGCACAGGGGGTGGTGGCGGCGGCGGTGGTGGGGGTGGTGGGGGTGGTGGTGGCAGTGGTGGCGGCGGTAGAGCTGGTGGCGGGCGCGGTGGAGCGGTGCAGCGTGGGGGGTTCGGTGGTGGCCAGAGGCAGCAGCAGCAGCGTCCAGGCGAGACTCCCTCGCCCCAGCAGCTCCGTGAGTGGTACTCTCAGCGTGGGGGGTCTGGGGGTGGAGGTACCTGCCCGTACGTCATCCGCACAGGTGACCGCACTGGCCAGACCTGTGGGAGGTTTCACACGGCGCAGCGCTGTTTCTTTCGCCTCGACGACGCCTGGCGCGAGCAGTTTCCTGACGCCTCTGAGCTGCCCCGCTGGGCTGATCTGCTTAAGAAGGGAATTGATATCTTTGCTCTTGATTATGATGCTATCCTTGCTGCTCTGTATGCATTGACCATTAGTGTTGAGGGTGACTGCTACCTGTGTGTACCGCCCGACCCGGGTATTGGGACCAGTGAGGCTGCAGCTCTAGGTGCTAGTGCGTCTGCTGCTCTAGGTCCTGGTGAGGCTGCTGCTCTAGGTGCTAGTGCGTCTGCGTCTGCTGGTACCGCGTCTACTGAGGCACTCAACACCTTCACACTGGACTCAGGTGCTTCCCGCTGCTCCTTTCGCGACCGCACTGATCTAGAGCAGCTTCCTAGACCGGTTGCTGTCTCCCTGGCTGACCCCTCCGGGGGTCCGGTCCTTGCGACCTCCACCACTGCCCTCCCCTGTCCTGCTGTCCCGTCTGGCACACTGTCTGGCCTTTACCTCCCCTCATTCTCTACGAACTTGGTGGCGGGTTCCGCGCTTCAGGACGCGGGTGTTCACCAGTTCACCCCTGCCTACGAGCGTGTGACGCACTGCACGTGTGCCCAGACGGGTCGTCACCTGGCTACCTTCACTCGGCAGCCGGGGTCGGACTTGTACACACTGACCACTGAGTCCCCTCAGGTAGCTGCGTCTGCGTCTGCGTCAGGTCAGCTGTCTGCCCCCTGTTCGTGTCGCTCCCTGTCGCACCGGACTGTCCTCTGGCACCACCGCCTTGGTCACCCGTCAGTGCAGCGCCTTCGCGGCATGCACTCCCGGTACCTTGTCTCTGGTCTTCCCAGGGTTCTCCCTCCCCTCCCACCCTCGCCTGCTCCTCCCTGTCTTCCCTGTGTCGAGGGGCGGCAGCGCGCCGCTCCTCACTCCTCCTCGTTCCCTCCCACAGAGGCTCCCCTGCAGACTCTCCACCTGGACGTGTGGGGCCCAGCCCGCGTCCGGGGACAGGGCAACGAGCGGTACTTCCTGCTGGTCGTCGACGACTACACGCGCTACACCACGGTCTTCCCCTTGCACACCAAGGGTGAGGTCCCTGATGATTTGATCCCTTGGATCCGCGCTGCTTGTCTACAGCTCCGCGAGCGGTTCCAGTCGGACTTTCCCGTCCTGCGTCTGCACTCTGACAGAGGTGGCGAGTTTTCCTCCGACCTCTTGGCAGCCTACTGTGCGGAGCACGGCATCCGCCAGACGTTCACTCTTCCGGCCTCTCCGCAGCAGAATGGGGTTGCTGAGCGCCGCATTGGTCTAGTCATGGATCCATGATCCATGCGGCTGCCCCCCATTTCCTGTGGCCGTTTGCAGTGCAGTACGCCGCGCATCAGCTCAACCTCTGGCCCCGTGTCTCTGCTCCAGAGACCTCTCCCACACTGCTGTGGACGGGGCAGGTTGGCGATGCGTCGCGTTTCCGGGTCTGGGGTGCTCGTGCCTTTGTCCGCGATACCACTGCGGACAAGCTCTCCACCCGCGCTGTGCCCTAAGTCTTCCTTGGCTTTGTCCCCGATGCGCCTGGTTGGCAGTTTTACCACCCCACCTCGCGCCGTGTCTTCCCCTCTCAGGACGTCACCTTTGACGAGTCGGTACCCTTTTATCGTCTGTTCCCCTACCGCACTGCTCCGCTCCCCCCCCCGCCTCTCTTCCTCACCCCAGGTGCCCCTTCGGTAGACCCCCTCCCTCCCCAGGGTCCTGCTCCCTCAGGTGTTTCCCAGGTAGACGCAGTCGAGCCTGTCGAGGTAGCTGTTGACTCTTGTCCTGAGAGGGGTACTGAGCCTGGGGGTGCTGGGGCTGGCGGTACTGAGCCTCGGGGTGCTGAGATTGGGGGTGCTGTGCCTGGGGGTGCTGAGCCTGGGGGTGCTGAGCCTGGGGGTGCTGAGACTGAGGGTGCTGAGCCTGGGGGTGCTGAGACTGCGGGTGCTGAGCCTGGGGGTGCTGAGACTGGGGGTGCTGAGCCTGGGGGTGCTGAGCCTGGTGGCGCTCCCTCTTCACAGCAGCTGCGTGAGTGGTACTCTCAGCGTTGCGGCCTCCGGCGTGGGGCTACTGGAGCTGCGGGTACTGTGTCGCGGCCGGAGCCTCCCTCCCCTCAGCGGCTACGTGAGTGGTACGCTCGGCGTTGCAGCCTACGGAGTGGAGCTCCTAGTTTTGAGGTGCCGCCTGCTGGAGGCCCTGCTGCTACTGGAGGTGCTGCTGGTGCTGCTGGAGGTACTGGAGCTGCTGGAGGTGCTGCTAGTACTGGTCCTGCTGGAGGAGCTGCTGGTGCTGCTGGAGGTGCTGCTGGTGCTGCTGGAGGTCCTGGAGCTGCTGGCGGTGCTGCTGGTGCTGCTGGAGGTACTGGAGCTGCTGGAGCTACTGGTGGTGCTCCTGGTCCTGGGACTGGTGGTGCTACAGGAGCTGGTGCTACTGGAGGTACTGGAGTTGACACTACTGGAGGTGCTACTGCTGCTGCTGGGGGTTCTGGTGCTGTCTCTGCTGGTTCTGGGGGCACGTCACGGCCGCGGCCGTACTTCGTTCCGCTCCTTCAGCAGGTTCTTGGTCAGCCGCCTCCTCCTTGTCCTGCTCCCTCCTTAGAGTGTCCTCCGCCTGTCCAGTCGTAGTCACAGTTACAGCCTGCCTCGCCACTTCCTGGTCCCTCTCCCTACACTGGTCCGACAGGAGGTCTTACGGAGCGTCGTGAGCCTGAGTCTCGTTCTGCGTCACCTGTTCGTGCTGCTCGCACTGGTCGTCGTGTCCCGCGTCAGCGTCCTCCTGCTGTCCCCGGCACTCACCAGATGTCGCTTCGTCTTTCCACTGCTCCACAGCGTGTCCCTCTGCCTTCTCCTCCTGCGTCCTCCCTTCCTGCCCTTCCTGACCCGGAGTCTGACTCTCTTCGTGCTGCTAGTCCTACTGTCACGCGTCTCCTGGCCACAGTTGTCACTGACCCTTCCTTTGAGTCAACTGCTGTGTCTGCCTTAGTTGCTGAGCTTGTCGACTTTGCTGCTCACTGTCGTCTAGACTACGCTGCGAGTCTTGTTGCTGAGTCTGAGTCTGTATGTCCTCCGTCCATCGGGGGTGAGTGTGCTCTTGGCACGGACGTCCTTGAGGACAGGCAGGAGGAGTTTGAGTGCTTTGCCGCCGCTGTACCTCATCTCGTGTCCATGCTGATTGCACCTAAGGGAGACCCGGATGCACCAGACATCCCGACCCCGCGCTCTTACGCTGAGGCGATCGCGGGTGAGTACTCCTCTCAGTGGCAGACAGCCATGGATGCAAAGATGGCATCCTGGAAGTCCACTGGCACTTACGTCGACGAGGTTCCCCCTCCTGGGGCGAACATCGTCAGTGGCATGTGGATTTTCAGGGTGAAGCGGCCGCCAGGTTCTCCGCCTGTCTTCAAGGCTCGGTACGCTGCTCAAGACTTCAGTCAGCGAGAGGGAGTAGACTTCTTCCAGACCTTCTCCCCCACCCCGAAGATGACCACTCTTCGGGTGCTGCTGCACGTTGCCGCTCAGCGTGACTACGAGCTTCACTCTCTTGACTTCAGCACAGCTTTCTTGCAGGGCAGCCTGCACGAGGAGATCTGGCTGCGCCGCCCTCCTGGCTTCACTGGGTCGTTTCCTCCTGGTACCCAGTGGAGCCTCTGGCGGCCGGTCTACGGTCTCCGCCAGGCGCCACGTGAGTGGCACGACACACTGAGGACTACACTTGCGGCTCTTGGGTTCTCGCCTTCTACTGCCGACCCGTCGCTGTTTCTGCGCACCGACACTTCACTGCCGCCGTTCTACATCCTCGTGTACGTCGACGACTTGGTCTTTGCCACTGCTGACACTGAGGCTCTCGCCCACGTGAAGTCAGAGTTGCAGAAGAGACACACGTGCACAGACCTGGGTGAGCTGACAAGCTATCTTGGCTTGCGGATCACCCGGGACAGAGCACGCCGCACCATCACACTGACTCAGTCACACATGGTGCAGCAGGTCCTTCAGCGCTTCGGCTTGACCAGGTCCTCGGCACAGGCCACTCCTCTGGCTACAGGTCACTCGCTCTCAGCTCCACCTTCGGACGAGTCCATAGAGCCGAGTGGTCCTTACCCAGAGCTAGTTGGTTGCCTCATGTACCTGATGACTTGCACTCGTCCTGACCTCGCGTACCCTCTTGGCCTTCTAGCTCGCTACGTGGCTCCTGGTCGGCACCGAAAGGTGCACATGGATGCTGCTAAGAGGGTACTGCGTTATTTGTGCAGTACGTCAGGCATGGGGCTCGTGCTTGGAGGGAGGCGCTCAGTTGTTCTCACTGGGCACTCAGACGCTTCTTGGGTTGACGACCAGGCTACGCAGCGGTCGTCACAGGGTTACACCTTCAGCCTTGGCTCTGGTTCAGTTTCTTGGCGTTCTACTCGCTCGTCTTCAGTTCTCAGCTCCAGTTGTGAGGCTGAGATCTACGCCACAGCCATGGCTGCACAGGAGCTACGCTGGCTGACCTACCTGCTGACCGACTTGGGAGAGCGGCCTAGTTCTCCTCCAGTGCAGTGCGTCGACAACAAGGCTGCCATTGCCTTGTGTGAGGAGCACAGACTGGAGCACAGAACGAAGCACATTGCTCTCCGTTACTTCCTGGCTCGAGAGCTGCAGCAGCGCGGTCAGCTTCGTCTGCGTTACGTGGCCACTCAGGCCAACACTGCTTATATATTCACCAAGGCACTTCAGCCTGGCGATCATCAGCGCTTCTGCACTATGCTGGGGCTTGTGCCCACTTTTCCTCACTTGCTGTAGGCTTTGTCTGTACTGTGATCTCTATATATATATACCTGCCTGTTTGCTTTGCTAGGTTGAGATCACCTTGCTGTTTGTGTTGCATATATGCCTCTGCATGTGAACTGGCCCTGTGGCCCTTTGCTTGTGCTCAGAGTGTGTGGTGACGTTGTGATCCACCTTGAGCTTGCTTTGCCTTTCTTGACTGGTCTTGTGACCCCTTGCTCTCCCCCACTTTGCCTATGGGGGTGTGTCAAACATTATATATATGTTATTGCTGTGTAGGCTATAGTGGGTTAGCCTTTAGGGGGTACACAACTCTAGGGTTTCATACTTGTACTCCAATGTTTCATAGTTCAATCACTTCTTGTTTCTGACACCGTGTACATCTGCAAGTCGGAGGCGCCAATCACCTCCTACGTGGGCACCATCAAGTTCATGGCCGAGCTCGGAGTCCTGAACCTTCCCTTGGATTCCAAGGGAAACTACTTTTCGGAGTAAGTTTTGGGGTACGTGCGGTCGTTGTACTTGTTCCTCTACCACTGAATTGATTAGCAACGTGCTAACCTCTATGAATGTCTCATGCAGGTACGGTTTCGGGGAGTTGCTAGATGCTGCCTCGAAGTACATGCGTCAAGAGCAACTGAAGCAGATCAAAGCAAGCCCGTACATCTCCATACAGCTCGACGAGAGTACTGATCGGGCGCGCGGCAAGCACCTGATCGTGTACGTGACCATCATGAAGGACAGAGTGAGCGTCGGTGAGTTCCTCACGTTGCAGATAGTGGACAAATGTGACGCGGCAAGTCTCGTCGACGTGCTACTGACCCACCTTGACGCCGTGGGCATTGACATGTCCAAGGTCGTCGGAATCAGCACCGACGGCGCCAGAGTCATGACGGGCACCAGCAATGGTGTTGTGGCACGACTCTTGGCGAGGAATCCCTATCTCGTGTCGTGCCACTGCATCGCACATCAGTAAGTCCGTCTGTGTTATCGGCTTTAAGGCAGGTGTGTAGTGTTGATCATGTTCTGCCCACTCACTACAATCGCTCTTTTGCTCTGTTCTACCTTGAGCAGGGAGGCGTTGGCCGCGAAGGATGCCGCTGAGAAGGTGCCAGAGTTCAACATCATAGACCAGGCGGTGCGCAACGTGGCGGAACAACTATCTAGGTCGAGCAAGTGGCACCGGCGATTCGAGCTGTCACAAGGTATGAAACGAGAATGACTAGAAACAGGACAGTACAAGGTTTGTATAGGCAAAACCTAACAATACTGTACCCCATAAGGAGTGCCCCACTACAGCCTACAACATAGTTCTGACACACCCCCATAGGCAAAGTGGGGACAAGCAACAGAACAAGGCAAGGTCAAGCTCAAGGTGGATCACAATGTCACCACACATTCTGAGCACAAGTTCAAGGCCACAAGGCCAGTTCACATGCAGGATTATAAATCAAGGTGAACAAGCAATACAGTGATCTCAACCTAGCAAGGGTAAGCATGCAGGTGCAGGTATATATAGATCACAGTACAAGCAAAGTCAAGAGATAAGCAAGTGAGGCCAGGTAGGCACAAGACCTAACATAGTACAAAAACGCTGATGATCACAAGGCTGAAGTGCCTTGGTAAAGATATCAGCAGTGTTGGCCTGAGTGGCCATGTAAGCAAGACGAAGCTGACCACGCTGCTGCAACTCTCGAGCAAGGAAGTAGCGCAGAGCAATGTGCTTCGTTCTGTGCTCCAGTCTGTGCTCCTGACACAAGGACAGCATGGCCTTGTTGTCGACGTACAGAACTGGAGGAGAACGAGGCGCCTCTCCCAAGTCGGTCAGCAGGTAGGTGAGCCAGCGTAACTCCTGTGCAGCCATGGCCCCAGCGTAGATCTCAGCCTCACAACTGGAGCTGAGAACAGAAGACGAGCGGGTAGACCGCCACGAAACAGAGCCGGAACCAAGGCTGAAGGTGTAACCCTGTGACGACCGCTGCGTAGCCAAGTCGTCAACCCAAGAAGCGTCTGCGTGACCAGTGAGGACAACTCGAGCCCGTCCTCCAAGCATGAGCCCCATGCCCGACGTACTGCACAGGTAGCGCAACACCATCTTAGCTGCATCCATGTGCTCTGGTCAGTGTCTCCCAGGAGCAACATAGCGCGCCAAGATGCTAAGAGGGTATGCCAGGTCAGGTCGAGTGCAGGTCATCAGGTACATGAGGCAGCCAACAAGCTCTGGGTACGGGCCACTCGGCTCTACGGACTCATCCAAAGGCAGAGCTGAGAGCGAGTGGCGAGTAGACAGAGGAGTGGCCTGAGGCGAGGAGTACGTGAAGTTGAAGCGCTGAAGGACCTGCTGCTCCAAGTGTGACTGAGTCAGGGTAATGGTGTGCCGTGCTCTGTCCCAGGTGATCTGCAAGCCAAGATAGCTGCGTAGTTCACCCAGGTCTGTGCACGTGTGTCTCTTCTGCAGCTCCGACTTCACGTGGGCGAGTCCAGCAGTGTCAGCAGTAGCAAAGACCAAGTCGTCGACGTACACGAGGATGTAGAACGGCGGTAGAGTAGTGTCGGTGCGGAGAAACAGCGAAGGGTCAGCAGTGGAAGGAGCAAACCCAAGAGCCGCAAGCGTAGTCCTCAGTGTGTCGTGCCACTCACGCGGTGCCTGGCGGAGACCGTAGACTGGCCGCCGGAGGCTCCACTGGGTGCCAGGAGGAAAAGTCCCAGTGAAGCCAAGTGGGCGGCGCAGCCAGATCTCCTCGTGCAGGCTGCCCTGCAAGAAAGCAGTGCTGAAGTCAAGAGAGTGAAGCTCGTAGTCACGCTGAGCAGCGACGTGCAGCAGTACCCGAAGAGTGGTCATCTTCGGGGTGGGAGAGAAGGTCTGAAAGTAGTCAACTCCCTGCCGCTGGCTGAAGCCTCGAGCCACGTAACGCGCCTTGAAGACAGGCGGAGAACCCGGCGGCCGCTTCACCCTGAAAATCCACATGCCATCGACAATGTGTCAAGAACTAACTAGCGTGAAAACATTGACTAAGGAAAAGGATGAACAAACAAGATATAGGAAACTCTAGCAAGTGTCCTAGCACAAGTGTAACATATTGTACAACACCTAGACTAACATATAGAAACTATATAAATATAGTTTGACACACCCCCATAGTCTAGGTGACGGCAGTCTTGTGGAAAGCAACACATATCTCAGGGTGGGTCTCAAAGACACACACAGTCTGAGAGCAAGCAAGGGTCACATGACCAATCAGCAAGAACGAGCAAGGGTCACAAGACCAGTCCACAAGAACAAGACAAATCTCAGGGTGGAGCTCAAAGTCACCACACACTCCGAGGACAAGCAAGGGGCCACAAGGCCAGTCCACATGCAAAAATATAGCAAATATAATAAGATGCAGGAGTACAAGACAAGCAGGACAAAGCATCTCTACGTAAGCAAGTGAGGACGGGTAGGCACAAGGCCAAGCTGGGTGCAAAAACGCTAGTGGTCACAAGGCGGCAACGCCTTGGTGAAGATATCTGCTGTGTTGGCCTCAGAGACCACACGTCGTACGAGTGCCTGGCCACGCTGCTGCAACTCACGCAGAAGGAAGTAACGAAGCTGGATGTGCTTCGCCTTCCCAACCAGTCGGGGCTCCTCACACAACAGGACAGCAGACCTGTTGTCGGCGACCAAGACTGGGGGAGAGCGAGGCCGCTCACCAAGGTCGGTGAGAAGGAAAGACAGCCAGCGAAGCTCCTGAGCGGCCATGGCCGCAGCGTACACCTCTGCCTCACAGCTGGAACCGGCCACGGACGACGCCCGAGTCGACCGCCACGAAACAGCGCCTGTCCCGAGGCTAAAGGAGTACCCCTGTGTAGACCAACGCGTCTCCGCGTCGTCGGCCCACGACGAGTCCGAGTAACCTGTGAGTGTAACTGGCTGCTTCCCTCCAAGGACAATTCCCATGCCTAATGTACTCGCCACATACTTCGCCACCCTCTTAGCAGCGTACCAGTGGGAAGGTCGGTGTCTCCCTGGCGCAACAAAGCGCGCAAGGACGCTAAGAGGGTAAGCTAGGTCTGGGCGAGTACAGGTCATCAGGTACATGAGACAACCCACCAGCTCAGGGTATGGACCACTGGACTCAAATGACTCGTCCGAAGGTGGAGCCGTGAGCCCATGATCCACACCAAGAGGGGTGAGCTGTACCTTGGAGAACGGGAAGCGGAACCGCGTGAGGATCTGCTCGACCATATGCGACTGCGTCAGCGTAATGGTGCGAGCTGCCCTGTCCCTAGTGATCTGCAGGCCAAGGTAGTGCTGCAGCTCACCAAGGCCAGTGCAAGTGTGTCTCCTCTGCAGTTCCTCCTTCACGGAGGCCAGTGCGTGTCGGTCGGGAGTGGCAAAGACCAGGTCGTCAACGTAAACAAGAACAAAGAACGGGGTCGAGCCACGGCGGACGAACAGTGATGGGTCGGCAGACGACGGAAAGAAGTCAAGCGCTGCAAGGGTCGAGCGAAGTGTGTCGTGCCACTCGCGTGGAGCCTGGCGCAGGCCGTAGACTGGTCGACGCAGCTGCCACTGGGTCCCAGGTGGGAAAGAGCCAGTGAAGCCAGGCGGGCGACGCAGCCAGATCTGCTCGTGCAGGCTCCCCTGAAGGAACGCGGTGGAAAAGTCCAAGGAGTGCAACTCGTAGTCACGCTGGGCTGCAATATGCAGCAACACCCGAAGAGTGCTCATCTTCGGGGTGGGAGCGAAGGTCTGGAAGAAGTCCACCCCCTCTTGCTGACTAAAGCCTCTCGCCACGTAGCGCGCCTTGATCACTGGTGGTGATCCAGGCGGCCGCTTCACCTTGTAGAGCCATCAGCCACTGACGACGTTCGTCCCAGGAGGTGGGACTGAGTAGACGTAAGTGCCTGTGGACCTATAAGACGCCATCTCTGCCTCCTCGGCTGCTATCCAGTACGAGGCCCAAGGTCCCGAGACCGCCTCAGCGTGAGTGCGAGGGATCGGGATGTCAAGGGCGTCTGGATCCCCCTAG